AAAAACTACTTGGTCCCCATCTTGGCCCTAAAATGCTTTTATTGTGTGACTTTGGACAAGGTATTAAAGAGAGAGAGAGAGAGAGAGAGAGAGAGAGAGAGAGAGAGAGAGAGAGAGACTGTGTCATGCCTCAGTTTCCCCATCTGTACAATTAAGATAAGAGTACTTGCTTCATAGGAGCATGGAATAAATAAATGCACTTAAATAAACAAACAAATAAATAAATGCACTTAAAATTTGTACAACTGGTTTGACATAAGCCAACCATAATGAATGTTAGGCATAAAGACGAAGAAGCCCCAAGTCAGAATGAGCCCCCACCCCTCCCCCAGCAGACTGTGGGTAAAATGTAAAGCTTTAGATCTAGGTGCATCCCTTTCCCAAAATCAAGACTTTTGGGAAACCAATAAACCCCGCTTCACTGGTCATTTCTGATCTCAGTTGTAAGACGACTGCAGTATTTACTCCTGCCCACTACACAGACATGGCATGAAGAGCTCCTGAACTGTGCTAAATAAATCTGCAGGAAGGCTCATCGATTTTCTACTCACGCAGAAGTAAATTTTTCTAATCATGGAATGCCAAAAAGAACCCATGATGGAGCCTGTGGTACGGGCCCAGCTGTTTCCTAATTCTCCTAGGCTGTTTGCATCTTTAAGGATGCCATGATCTGGCCAATCAAATGTAAAGAGAGGTTACTGTGTTCTTCTGAGGAGGTGGTTAAGCAGCGGGCATCTCCTTCTTCTCTCTTCTTGCTCCATGGACCTTAGAGGCTCTACTTTTAAGAGGGCACAATTAGAAGACAGAGAGCCACCAGGTAGCGGTGGCACACGCTTTTAATCCCAGCACTCGGAGGCAGAACCAGGCAGATCTCTGTGAGTTTGAGGCCAGCCTGGTCTACAGAGCGAGATCCAGAACAGGCACCAAACTACACAGAAACCCTGTCTGGAAAAACAAAAAAACAAAACAACAACAACAAAAAAAAAAAAAAACAGAGTGCCACAGAATGTGCTGCATGTGAATGATAAATGAACATTTCGTCTAGCCATTGAGATTTTGAGGGTTAGTCTGCTGCAACACCCAGAATTCACTGTCCTGATTCAGGTAGAAGTATGGATCAGTGAGATAGACCACACCCTTTTCAGGGGTTTAAGAAGCTACGTCAATGCCTCCTCTCCAGAGTTTGCCTACAGTCTTGGGTTCTAATATCCGTGAAAAGGCTTTTTAGTCTGATGAGAAATCTGTTCTCTGAGTCGGGGAGAGAACAAAGCATTCCTTACACAAAACTCCCTTTTGCTACAAAATGCCTTTATTTCCTTTCAGTCAGATAAAATTTTTCAACTGTATATATGGTTACACATGAAAAGGTACGTCTTTGCCGCCAGCCTCATTTACAAGATCCATTTTTAATTATTAATGTGTCTATCAGACAACCTTCTTTGTCTCTGAAAACATAACTTAAATAGACCGCCGATGGATCAGCCACACCCGTGTTCGTGGATGTGGATGGTGTGCAGTTCACCAGTGAGTCAGCCTGCGACGGCGTGGGTGTGATTAGATCCCACCAGTTGGCAGGTGGCATGCAACAGAAGCCTGCCTGTTGGCCACACTACGGTGGCAAGGGCCTTTCTAGGAACAAGAGAGCATGTGCAGACACAGAAGACAGACCTATGCAATGTGAAGAGGCTTCTCACAGAATGCAGACACCATTCGGTGGACCCCGGAATGAAGAAAAGCATCACGAAGGCGACCCCGCTGCGCACACTTCTGCTGATCATGGCACCTTCTTGTCTGACACTCAATAAATAGTTACTGAAAGGAGGAACGAGAGGCTCAAGACACTGACAGTTGTCACCATGTCCAACCTCCTTCTGAACATTGGGTTTTAGGTTGGGAGCTCGAAGGACGTCCATCTTCTGTTTCTTCAGAGTAAGTCATTCTACTTGGAATGCCATTCACTTCCCTAGAGAGACCTCTCAATTCTTCATTGGCAGTTAGTCTTTTGCAGACTGCAATATTGGCTTAAAGACGAGTGTAAAGTGGTCCACAGAAAGTCTAGATTTGTCTCTTGAAGTAAAAAAGCCTGTTTGGCTCATAATTTCTAGGCTCTACTATATTCTTCCCACCATCTCTCCTTCCGGTTTCTGTCATTTACCCCAAGCCTGAAATAGCCGTGTAGACTCATGGGTTGAGCAGTGCACATCTTTGTAACATCTTATCTCAGTCTCAGCTACAGAAATGTACCATGACTCCTTGGGTCTTGAGAGAGTGGCTCTCTTGAAGCTCCACCCTTCAAGGAGTTGTGAACATTGGCTCCTTGAAGGTGAAGGTGGTATTCTAAGGCGGATGCTAAGGAATTCCCACAAAAGAAATTCCTGGAAAAAAAATCCACATTCTCCCGTGATTCTCCTTCCCCATAAGGCTATGGTTGCAATTCCGGTGACACATAGGAAAAGTTCCTAAACTCATCCTGGTTAATCATAGGAAGATGTCCCTCATCAATTGGCGTTAAAACGGGCTCTTCTTTTATGAAGTCTGGGTCAAAATTGCTGACATCTTCTCGGGATTTCTGTTAAAAAAAAAAAAAAAAAAAAAAAAGGAAACCGTGGTCAAATTGTACGTATATGTACCTGGGGTTTTCGCCTCTCACATGGGACTCAGCCCATTCCAAGGAGTTCAGAGAACTCTCTTCAGCATCGGTCAGCAGCATCGTTTATGGTTCTGACCGCTGTGATTAAGCAGTGCTTTATGGTCAACCCACCACATGTATTATTATGGCCTTTGCCAACTGCCAAGTCACTCATCCCATGTCCCACCCTCTAGTCACCAAGTCCTGCCAAGTGGGACAGCCTTAGACTAGGAGGCTAAAGAATAAATGTGATCACCCAGACTTGCTTACTCACTCACCCATGATCCTCCATTCCACTGAGGTACTGCTTTCCAAAAGGCCTCACTGAGGGGGCATGCCTGCTCACATCTGCCCGGGAGTTGGGTAAACTCATGCTCCCCTCACTTACTGTTTGCACACATTCTGCACGTGTGAGAAGAGGTTCTCAGGTGATTTCACGGTGCTGCTGAGCTTAGAGCAAAAGTGATTGCCCTGTTACTGGTCAGCAACAATATACCCCACTGGGCTGGAGCTGGTACGTTCCCTCGGCTGCTGGATAGCCCAAACCTGACGAACTGGTGCAGACTAAGCTCACTCTGGTCTGAAGAACTGTGTAAATGACATCTTTTACGAACTGATGCTAGAGATCAGCTTTGGTGCCTGTCCTGGATCTCACGCTGCAGACCAGGCTGGCCTCGAACTCACAGAGATCTGCCTGGCTCTGGGGCCGCCCGCCCAGTCTCCCTCTGCAGGAGGGGCCGGCAAACCTTCACTCTGTCATCCCAGCTTTTCCATGGACTTCGATCATCTGGAGAAAAGGGAGAAAGTAGTACAATAACCTTGACACTCACAATTCTGGGCCGGAAAGGCGGTTCTAGTTGGCGATGGTTCAACTGGGCCCAGTCGATTTCCTTAAAGAAAGGGTGCCTCAAGATCTCGTGTTCGCCTCCCTGAGCCAGGCTGCCCAAGCGCATGGTGGGGTTCTTGGTCATGAACTAAGAGAGGGCAAGAGAAAGAGAGAGTCATTCATTCACTCACACACAGCCACATCACAAGACAGCAGGCATCGGCCCTGACTAAGGAGCTCCTGGGAGGTTTTTTTGGCTGGTCTTGCTTCACTAGCTGGATTTTCCATCCTGGGCAGCGCAGGCTGGATGAATCATGCCTTAACGTCGAGACTGCCTGAGTGGATTTTTGGCCTTCCTCACTGCCATTTCAGGCACAGCCACTAAAAGAAGCCTGAAGGGTCCAATTTTCTTTTCTGTAAATACCAGGTGTTTTTCTTTCCCCTGTAGAGAAAGGCAGCTCCTTATGAATTAGCGTGTCTTTCCTTGTGGACAGCAAGCAGATCCTGAATGGGGCTACTTTTAGGAACAGCTGTACCATTGTTCTGAGGCCCGCTCCGCTGGCCAGGGTTCCTGCTCTCTCCTAAGACCACAGAGAGATGTGAGGGTCATTGTTGTTGAGATCTCTACAACGGCAGCAAGGGTGAAAAACTCTGAACACTTCTGTGTCTGGGCTCTAGGAAAAATTAAAAGTTGGTTGCTTGCCTGTCTTTCTGTGGCTAAGATACTATGGTTCAAGAGGAACCTTCTCTGCATTCAAGATGCCCCTCTTCTGTTTTGAAATGAGTTTATAGATTGAGAATGTGTGACTGCATAGGCCAAAAGCACAAATCTTCCATCTTCGTATAAATGGAGAAATATTTTAGGCGTTTTGGGCCAACTCCTCTGCTTCTTACAAATGGTCTTGGTGTTTCGATCATTTCTTAATGAAGGACTTGGAGAATAATTCACTTTTCAGGGCCAGAATATCATTTTTTAATTTCAAATGATTTCCCATTAAAATAAAACAAAACAAAGCAAAACGCTGAACTTAAATAAATAGTTTTGTTTGGTTTGGGCATGGTGGTAGCACGTGCCTGTAACCCCATTTGGAGACTGAGGCAAGAAGGTGGTGAATTCTAAGTCAGCCTGGGCTATACAGTGAGACCTTGTCTCAAACACAGAGCAATAACAAAAGGGTTTTGGGTGTGGTTTAGTGGCAGAGTGCTTACCCAGCATGGCAAGGTGCCGAATTCCACCCCAGATGTGTGAGAAACAAAGCAAAAAGTTTGTGGCTTTATTTAAATCAAGTTTCTTTGTGCTTCTTCCAATCTTAATTTCCAGTGCTGGGGTTCAGACCCAGGGCTTTGTGTGGGTGAGGCAAATACCCTAGCATCGAGCTCCACCTCTGGACTCTAAATCAAGTTATCTAAACATAGACGAACGACAAGTTTTGACAGTCCCCAGATAACCTTTTCAAGTTAGACTTTGTGAGCACAAAACAAAAGTAATGCTGTGTTTACAGAAACTGTTGGGAGCTGAATTTACCGAGTAAACTTAAAGATTTTTCAAAGAAAATCTTGTTGCTGATGCAGGCATAGAAGAAGGTGACACCCGGGTCATGCCAGGGAGCCACATAAAGCTCCCAGTGTTGGCTCAAAGGACAAGGATCACAGCTGAAGGGAAGGGGTGGCCAAAGAGCCTCGGCAGACAGCAATCCCGTGGCATCTACTTTGCCAAATGCTAAAAGAGTGTCAAAGGGGAGCCAGGAGAGAATGAAGACCCCGATGGCTTCTCCTTTCTCCAAGTGACAAAGAGTTAGAAGACCTAGGGTGCTGGATTCAAGGTAGGACCCAAAATAAAATAAGCTCTCAAATAGACACAGGTCCAATCACAGCAGTTCATACCCCAGACATTTACAGTGGTCATTGTGGGTTTAAGAAATGCATGTAAGTGACTCTGCTACGTAAGTGCAAAGGAGTTCATACTGATAATTTTTTTTCTCCGGGAAGATGGGAGAATGTCTTCCAAAAAAAAGAGAGTAGATTCTCTCTATGGGAATGTTAGTGGGGTACAGTCACTAATGCACAGGCAGCTGCAAGTCTAAAAGCTTAATATCAACTAATAATGAAATTTAAAAAAAAAAAAAAAGAAACTTGAGAAACAAGGATCACAGAAGAAGACCCAGATGGCTTGTGGGAAATTCCCAGGCCTGCCACTGATGGGAGCAGAGTATGTCTTGGGAATATGTGGGTGCAATTTGTTCTTCTGAAAAAGGGAGTCAGGGCAGGATTCCAGGTGTCGGGGTGGTAGAAGCATTGCTGACTGACTTTGTGCATTCTTCCCTGGCCCTGGCTCTGAATCTGAACTTCCAGGGAGCAGTGAGCACACGAGAAGCATTGTCTGAGGATGAGGAGACAAGTTCCCGGCGCTGACACCTCTGTGGGCAGTATGACCCGCTGCTGTTGAACACCTTCTCTCGGGATTCTGATCAATCTTTTGGAATAATATTGATTGAAATTTTTTTAAACATATTTTATTTTTAATTTATGTGTATATCTGTGTATCTCTGTGTGGGTTAGTGTACACAAGTTCAGGTGCCAGCCGAGGCCAGAGGCATCAAATACCCGGGAGCTGCAGCGACAGGTGGTGGTGAGCTGCCTACATGGGTACTGGGAACGTGGGTACACACCCTTAACTGTTGTGTCTCCAGTCCCATAACCTTGATTTTTTTTTTTTTTAGCATCTTGACTTGAGCTCTTTAGACACAATCATCCTCCATCTAATGAAAATCTGACCAACCTAGTCTGGTAAGTGTGGCTCTCGGTCCTTGTCAAAGAATCTTCTCTTTGCCATGAGATAGACTACCACAGAGGTCCACCACTGGTCCAAATGCAGAGAGCAACTGACCCTGGGGTGTCCAACCCCAGCTAATACATCTACACTGCAACCCCAGACAGAGGCTCAGGAAAAAGGACTGAAGAGGGGGCAGGAAGGATGTAAGAACCAGAGGACCGGGATGCCTGCTATGAGATAGTGTCTTCCAGACAGACGTTGCCTAAAAAGACCTGCATAGTGACAATGTGACATGCCATAGTGGATAGGAGAAATTTCACAAGGCCTCACCCCTAGGTAAGAGATACAGGCATTCAGTGGCTGCTGAGAAAGGAAGGATCCTTCTTCTCTAGGGATAGGTTCTCAGCTAGGTTATTCGATCCTAAGTGAGTACCCTTAAACACATGCACATACGAGCAAAGCTCAATGCGCCCAACTGAGGTGTGTGTGTGTGTGTGTGTGTGTGTGTGTGTGTGTGTGTGTGACAATACTAGTTAAAGAAAAGGTCATGAATGTGAGAGGGAGTGTGGGGGAACATGGGAGGCTTTGGAGGGGGAAGAGGAAGGGGTAGAAATGATGCAAACATGATACTTAAGACATTATCAAGAAACAATTCCAATTAAACAAAGAGAGAAGAATCCCCCATCACCTTTACAAAGTCTATATCGTATCTGGTGAACGCAAGGCAGTGCACTAAGCTTAGGGGTGTGCAGGAGACAAGGGTAATATCGTTCCATCATGGCGCAAATCAAGAGAAGAGGCAAGCCAACTAGGACACACCCTGGATGCGCTGAAAAGGATCAGTTTAGGAGGCAACTAGGCAGTGGGACCAAGTCCTGTGCTCATTGCATGAGTTGGCTGTTTGAAACCTGGAGCTCATGCAGGGACGCTTGGCTCAGTCTGGGAGGAAGGACTGGACCTGCCTGGACTGAGTCTACCAGGTTGATCGCAGTTCTCGGGGGAGGACTTGTCCTGGAGGAGGTGGGAATGGG